AGACAGTAATTTCACCCCTTCTCGGTGCTTGAAGTTCTACAGGTGACTGCCTCCCAGGATTCAACTATCTGTATTCTAAGCCCTAGCACTCGGACTTAGAATCTGGCGAACGTTGTTTGTTTTCCTCTCAGACAATATGAAATGCTTGTAGAATGCTTTTTCTGTGTTGAACGTATGAGGCCTTATTTGATTTAAATAAACTTCTGAAACCTTATCAGAAGAGTCACAACTGTTAGAAAACAGTTAATAAAACTAATCCGAATTAATAAAAAATTATTAATTCGAAACCAAAAAATAATTTTAAATCTGAAAGTGCCCCAAGGCCCAAGGCCCATCTTTTTGACTATTAAATATTATATATTTTTATATAATATTCAAAGCCCAAATCGATTTTGAAGCCCAAATTGCTTCCACTTGGCCTACTTCCATTTACTAAGTGTGGCACTTCCACACTTATAAGGACCTCACTCTTTCTACTTTCTATCAATGTGGGACAAAGGTTCTTGAATTTAATTCAAACTTCCAACAGTCGGATTCAGAGCCAAGGACCTTGGGGAAATAGGACTTTGTTCTTGCATATTGATTCTTCATCTTTCTCTGTCCAGGCATCGAACTACTTTGAATATAAGCCCAATTGCATATAATTTATCGAGATGCATTACAAAATGTCTCCTAGATTTTAGCACTCAAACTCCAGGTTTTTGGATTGAATGGAATTTATGAGTTGGATGTCCTTGCCCTTTCTACTACTAGTTTTCAAATTCTACTTTTATGGATTGAAACAGAGAGTTTTGGGTCCAGATAAATGTAGTTTGTTACGTAATCTCACTGTAAATTTTGTTCTCTGTTTCCCAATGTGAACACTCAAACGGAACATTATATGGTAAAAACGAGCATGTTAACAGTGGCCTCGTTAAAATCTTATTGGAGAAAACCATATGGAATAAAACCCCAGAGCATAAAGTACTTCCCATGCTAATGACTAATCAAAAGAGTCAAACACCTACTACAAGTAAATCAAGCCACTCGAGGGACGGACCCACAGTGGGGTCAATGGGGTCAAACAACTCTATGGACTCCAAGAAAGTAAGGTAGAAGGCTCCTTTGAATTGCTCTGTGACCCCATGAAAATCTGGAGAAGAAGTTGCAGAGGTCTTGAGGAAGAAGAAGATGAACAGAATCTGTTCTTTTTTTCAAAAGGAGCTGGCCAAAACGGCGTCGTTTTGGCCCAGCTTCTAATTTTTTTTTAAACCCACGTCATGAATATTAAAAAAATGGTGGAGACAAGGATGCATCGAGCATTCAATTATGTGTATTTGCTTATTACATTGGCTCTAGTTTTACCGGTTGCTACTGCTTCAGTTGAGAGGGCATTTTCCGTCATGAATATTAAAAAAATGGTGGAGACAAGGATGCATCGAGCATTCAATTATGTGTATTTGCTTATTACATTGGCTCTAGTTTTACCGGTTGCTACTGCTTCAGTTGAGAGGGCATTTTCCGTCATGAATATTAAAAAAATGGTGGAGACAAGGATGCATCGAGCATTCAATTATGTGTATTTGCTTATTACATTGGCTCTAGTTTTACCGGTTGCTACTGCTTCAGTTGAGAGGGCATTTTCCGTCATGAATATTAAAAAAATGGTGGAGACAAGGATGCATCGAGCATTCAATTATGTGTATTTGCTTATTACATTGGCTCTAGTTTTACCGGTTGCTACTGCTTCAGTTGAGAGGGCATTTTCCGTCATGAATATTAAAAAAATGGTGGAGACAAGGATGCATCGAGCATTCAATTATGTGTATTTGCTTATTACATTGGCTCTAGTTTTACCGGTTGCTACTGCTTCAGTTGAGAGGGCATTTTCCGTCATGAATATTAAAAAAATGGTGGAGACAAGGATGCATCGAGCATTCAATTATGTGTATTTGCTTATTACATTGGCTCTAGTTTTACCGGTTGCTACTGCTTCAGTTGAGAGGGCATTTTCCGTCATGAATATTAAAAAAATGGTGGAGACAAGGATGCATCGAGCATTCAATTATGTGTATTTGCTTATTACATTGGCTCTAGTTTTACCGGTTGCTACTGCTTCAGTTGAGAGGGCATTTTCCGTCATGAATATTAAAAAAATGGTGGAGACAAGGATGCATCGAGCATTCAATTATGTGTATTTGCTTATTACATTGGCTCTAGTTTTACCGGTTGCTACTGCTTCAGTTGAGAGGGCATTTTCCGTCATGAATATTAAAAAAATGGTGGAGACAAGGATGCATCGAGCATTCAATTATGTGTATTTGCTTATTACATTGGCTCTAGTTTTACCGGTTGCTACTGCTTCAGTTGAGAGGGCATTTTCCGTCATGAATATTAAAAAAATGGTGGAGACAAGGATGCATCGAGCATTCAATTATGTGTATTTGCTTATTACATTGGCTCTAGTTTTACCGGTTGCTACTGCTTCAGTTGAGAGGGCATTTTCCGTCATGAATATTAAAAAAATGGTGGAGACAAGGATGCATCGAGCATTCAATTATGTGTATTTGCTTATTACATTGGCTCTAGTTTTACCGGTTGCTACTGCTTCAGTTGAGAGGGCATTTTCCGTCATGAATATTAAAAAAATGGTGGAGACAAGGATGCATCGAGCATTCAATTATGTGTATTTGCTTATTACATTGGCTCTAGTTTTACCGGTTGCTACTGCTTCAGTTGAGAGGGCATTTTCCGTCATGAATATTAAAAAAATGGTGGAGACAAGGATGCATCGAGCATTCAATTATGTGTATTTGCTTATTACATTGGCTCTAGTTTTACCGGTTGCTACTGCTTCAGTTGAGAGGGCATTTTCCGTCATGAATATTAAAAAAATGGTGGAGACAAGGATGCATCGAGCATTCAATTATGTGTATTTGCTTATTACATTGGCTCTAGTTTTACCGGTTGCTACTGCTTCAGTTGAGAGGGCATTTTCCGTCATGAATATTAAAAAAATGGTGGAGACAAGGATGCATCGAGCATTCAATTATGTGTATTTGCTTATTACATTGGCTCTAGTTTTACCGGTTGCTACTGCTTCAGTTGAGAGGGCATTTTCCGTCATGAATATTAAAAAAATGGTGGAGACAAGGATGCATCGAGCATTCAATTATGTGTATTTGCTTATTACATTGGCTCTAGTTTTACCGGTTGCTACTGCTTCAGTTGAGAGGGCATTTTCCGTCATGAATATTAAAAAAATGGTGGAGACAAGGATGCATCGAGCATTCAATTATGTGTATTTGCTTATTACATTGGCTCTAGTTTTACCGGTTGCTACTGCTTCAGTTGAGAGGGCATTTTCCGTCATGAATATTAAAAAAATGGTGGAGACAAGGATGCATCGAGCATTCAATTATGTGTATTTGCTTATTACATTGGCTCTAGTTTTACCGGTTGCTACTGCTTCAGTTGAGAGGGCATTTTCCGTCATGAATATTAAAAAAATGGTGGAGACAAGGATGCATCGAGCATTCAATTATGTGTATTTGCTTATTACATTGGCTCTAGTTTTACCGGTTGCTACTGCTTCAGTTGAGAGGGCATTTTCCGTCATGAATATTAAAAAAATGGTGGAGACAAGGATGCATCGAGCATTCAATTATGTGTATTTGCTTATTACATTGGCTCTAGTTTTACCGGTTGCTACTGCTTCAGTTGAGAGGGCATTTTCCGTCATGAATATTAAAAAAATGGTGGAGACAAGGATGCATCGAGCATTCAATTATGTGTATTTGCTTATTACATTGGCTCTAGTTTTACCGGTTGCTACTGCTTCAGTTGAGAGGGCATTTTCCGTCATGAATATTAAAAAAATGGTGGAGACAAGGATGCATCGAGCATTCAATTATGTGTATTTGCTTATTACATTGGCTCTAGTTTTACCGGTTGCTACTGCTTCAGTTGAGAGGGCATTTTCCGTCATGAATATTATCAAAGGTCCACTTCGGAACAAAATGGGAGATCAATGGTTGAGTGATAGCTTACTTGTTTATGTTGAGAAGGATGTTTTTGATTGTATTGAAAATGAAGCTATAATGCTTCGTTTTCAAAATATGAAACCTCGTCGTGGCCAATTGTAATTTGTAATGTTGTTTTTTACATGAATTATGAATGAATGTACTGTAGTTTCATTTTCAATGTTATATTAATCTTAAAAAAAAAAATTGAACTTTTACACTATGACCCTACGACATCAAATTCCTGGGTCCGTCCCTGTGTCGAGACCAATTCTTCCTAACACCATTTAGAAGCCAAGGAGGCCCATCACCCAACCAAAAACAAAGCTCCTCCACACAAAGACTAAAACAACTCGAAATCAATCATCTCTGTTCAGATAAATGTAGTTTGTTATATAATCTCACTGTATATTTCGTTTTCTGTTTGCAATGTGACCACTCAACTTTCCTCATGGTTCATCAATGAGACAAATTGACTCGTTATTCTATGAATTTTGTCTATTGCAATCTCCTTATGAAATTATTGAGGGTCAATCTAGACTTACAAGTCCACTCCTTGGACAGTGCCTAGAACTATAACAAATAAAATTACAAGCAAGATTCTCTAAGGAAAGTTAGTAAACCAAATACAAGTATTAAATTTGTCGATCGACTGCAATATATTTTAAGATTTCCCCTAATTAATTGGTTCTATTTATACATATATATATATATATATACACACACAAAAAAGAAAAAGAAAAAAAGAAAATTGAGAAGTAAATGAATATCCCGATCCTGTGGTGAGTCAACAAGTGCTTCACTTTCGGTCCCTAAAGTCAACACAATCTGCCAAGAACATAATGTTTAGTGTGAACCCTCACCTCAGCTACACATGCTTTGCTGCTGCTGGGCTGGGACCAATCTATAAAGCAAAGTGGCAAAGCTTGTATTTTTTCCCTTGTTTGCTTTGGGCAATACCTAGTTCTAGTTGGGTGTGTATTTGTGCCGACCACTAACATGACCTATAATATTATGAAAAGATGAGCAAAATTGGGTTGACTACTTCAATTCCACTCGACGCCCATGTGTTTACATTTTTCCAGACTTCTACCGTGAAATTGCTCTGCAAATTAATTTGCATGGAAAAATATTCATGCTGCAGACGACCAAAAGACGGCACTTGCAATTTGCAAATTAAAGAAAATTTTGTGACATCCGCCGTATGCTGCATGACAACTTGGTGGAAAAATAAATCACGGAAAGAAATTAACAACTATTTCGACCCCACATTAAATGCATGGTTTGAGCCACTATCTATACAAGAAATTAATATTAGTATAATTTTATTTTTGCTAGAAAAACAAAATAATTAACAATAAACAACCTTGGTATGGGTATCGCAAATCCTAAATTACTTTTAAATATTCACAATCATTTATAATCGAGAATATAAGACAAACATATAACAAAGAGGAAATTCAAACAGAGGATTCGGATCATCAAGAAGTGGCGAAGCTTAGGCTCTATCGCTTTTGAGAGAGACATTAAAAATGATTGGCACAATTTTTATAGTGACAGACAGGCATATGGGTAGGGGGAAAAAATCAAAACACAAAAACCGTCCCTCTAAAGTTGACTTGGCAAGCGGGAAAATTCCGTTGCTTTGTTGAGTGTATGAGTCATATAAAGCTGCATCATCTACCCTTTTAAATTTCCATTTCCAAAATTCTCCATTATTATTCCACAAGGAAACTGCACTGTAATTAACCCTCTTCAAACCCTTTGAAGCTCCCAAGAACCCTGTCTCTCTCTCTCTCTCTCTCATATTTAATTTCCTATTATTGCTTCACACTTTCTCATATATTATATATGTATATATATATATACAAACTCATATATATATATATATATATGTATATAATTAGACCAATCAAATCCAACCCAAGTTCAATATCATCATGTTGAAGGAGTACAATCACTAGCCACTGATGAAGATGGAGATCACAGTGATATCAGCCCAAGGCCTCAAAACCACCTCCCCTGCTATCTTCTCAAACAAGATCAGACCCTTCATTACCCTGACCACCACCAACGGTGATCACAAGTGCCACGTGTACAGCACAGGGGTGGATGATGAAGGAGGTATCAACCCTACATGGGGTGACAAATTTCATGTCCCTGTGGACACAAGTTTCTTCGCAAACAGGTACTCTTCCATATATCTGCAGCTTTACAGCAAGCGGCTCATAATGGGCCGGACCCAGTTGGGCTGGTGCCAAATCTCGCCCCAAGATATTGGGTTTCCGCCGGCCGGTTCAGCCCGGTACATGAGTGAACGGCTCCGGGCTAGAGACGGTTCCAGGACCAATGGGATTGTGAACCTTTCTGTGAAGTTGGAAAATTTGGGTCCGGTCAGCGGTCATGGGCAGCCAAACTCCGTCAATGCGCCGTCATTTGGCATGTGTGGCACAGTCATTGGAACGCCGGTGACAGCTCTACTGCCACCTTTGGGTAAGGTCTCTGTGAGTTGTGAAGGGCGGTTAGATCACGTGGGTTTTGGTTGTAAAGAGGCACATAGATGGACCACGTGTGATTCTGAAGGGCACCCTTCCAGAAATTGAGAGAGCATCTCAACGCGCGAGTATTACCACTACATTAATTGACATTGGATCAAATTTTCAAAAATTACGTGTTTTATGTACCAATTAGCTTAGCTTTTGGTTTAGTATTTGTCGTTTAAATATCGAAAGATGTTGCAAATTTGAATTATTCATCGGTCATTATAAACACTGTTTATTTTAGTACCATTACGAAGAAAAAAGAGGAAAAAGATAAAAAGAACAGGAGAGAGGTGTTAATTGAGGGGACAAAAAAGCAAACTAGCACTAATTGTCACTAATTGTCAAGTACAAGTATTGGAAGATAAAGTGAGTAAAGCTACTCATGAAAATCCAATTAGGTAACTATCACCACTCATGCATCATCCTTCCACATTCCTCCAAGTGTAAATCCATGCCAACTATAAGCTCATCTTTACCTACAATCATTTCAAATCCCATGATTTTTTTCAAAGTGCTCTGAGTGTGATGGGGTATCTAATAGTGACTCAAGCAATTAAGAGCCCACATGAGGCCATTATTTGTGTTTGTCTTTTCTCAAAGTTTTATTCCCTCCATGTCACATGATATGAGATCCACATGAATCATGTACTTTTTTTTTTCTTTTTTCTTTAGAGTTTAGGGAAATATTTTTATTCACTACTTTAATTCAATATGTATTTTCACTATTATTTTCAACACTTAACATGTGTCCATGAGAATAACCATAGTTAACTCTTTGCTTTGTATTTGTGGAATCATGATTATACCCATAGACAAATGTCAAGTGTTGAGAATGATAATGATGGTACACTTGGGGTTAAAGTGATGAGCAAAAATGTTCTCTTTTTCCATCGGACGGAAAGATGAAAGAATACAACACAAAATCTTGAATGCATGAGGAAATTATTGAGTCTATTAGAGCATCTCCAGTGATGGGTTGTATAATGAGATATATGTTAAATATACACCATTTGTGATCAAAATCACCTGCAATGGGGAGGTGTAAACGATTGTAAATTTGCATCACAACCGTGAGATGCAAATGTAGATACACATATGCATCCTTTTTTACATCATTTGCAGGTGGGGCCTACATGAGAAAATGTGAGAAAATGTTGACAAAAGTGAGCAAAATCAATTATACATCTTTAGATTTACATATTCCCAATTGGAGCAAAAACTACACTTACAACCCCTAAGAGCATCCACAATGATGCTCTTTATTTCTTAGCTAAAATTTGGCTAAGAATATAAGAAAGCTATTTTAGGAGCTTTCTAAAAAAATTCAACTCCAACCATACTCCCTAATTTGGAGAGTTATAAATGCTATAACTCTTTTTTGATTGGTCCATCTCTATTAAAAAATAAAATAAAAAATAATTAACATTAAATGAAGGTTTGAAATACTGATTAAATAAAGCAGCATTAAATTATAGGGAGCCACTAGGAGTCCTTTCTCTCTCTCCTCAGATTTAGGAGCTCCTAGAGGACTCCCTATTTTAGGAGGTGAATAGGGAGCGTGGTTGGAGTTGTATTTTTACGATTCCTCCCTAAAATTTGTCTAAGGAGATGATTTAGGGAACCAATTGTGGATGCTCTAAAGATGTAAAAAAGATGTAAAAGTGGCTTTACACTCCCGAAAATATACATCCACTGTGGATGCTCCTAGGCCCCGTTTGGTTCACGGAATGAATTTGAGGGGAAATTATTTCTCATCTTATTTCCCAAGTGATGGGAAATAGAAGATTCTTTTTCCACGTTTGGTAATACTGAGAAAGCAACCTGAAGATAGCACTTTATTTCCTTTCCCATATTTATTTTGAGTAGGAATGGAAAACAAAGTTTGTATAAATTTTCAATTATACCCGTATTAAATTAAATAAAAAAAATACATTTAATGATATGTTGTAATTCTAAATTGTTAATGGGGATAAAATGATTATGAAAAATGTGTAATTAATATTGGTTCATTTCCCCAAACTTTTCCATGAGAAGGGAAAACAAAACTCAAGTTGAGAGGATAGCTTCACTTTCCCCCATACTTTTCCATGGGCCAATCAACGATTTCCCATGCCTTGACTTACCAAACATGGGAAAGTAATTGATTTTCCATCCCCAAGTCTCATTTCCCATGAACTAAACAGGGCCTTAGTGCTTTCCTATCTTGGAAAATTTGAGGTTGTTTAAATGCTCCCAATCGTTAAAGGGATAAACTCTTTATCACTAGAGTCTATTTTACGTTAGAGAAAAAGTAACATTTGAGGAAGTACTTGAGTGTGGATCTCTTGTTGGAGATGATGCGTGTTGACGGTATGTCGGGACACTAATTTTAAATTATGAGTGCTGATTTTAAGACATAAAGGTGTAATTGATTATGATATCATGTGGAAGATGGAAAGTAGCCATAGGTGAAAAATTAGATCACATCGAGTCATTGACATTGACACAAATAGTGCTCTCTATTTTTCTCAATTTGTACATTTAATCCTAATATTAGGAATATCAACATGATCTTATTCAGATTCACAGATATAAGATGATTATGTTGCCATAGTGTGGGAAATTATTTGTACATCTAATTCTAGTAGATATATTTAAATTTTAAAATGAAATTACTCGATTCGAGGTTCTATAATGTGGCCATACAGTCTAACAAGAAAATATTTTCCTTTGATACTACATGCAATTGGATTTTAATACGAAATTACTTGATTCAAGGTTTTAGGAATGTATTCTACTCGCAATATAGGGGCAAACTATTCTAAAATCTCCCAATTTTGGGCTGCTGCAGAATAACAGAACTGATAGTCTTTTGGTATTTTATGTTTTGCCCCCTTAAATTAACGAACAAACTAGCATCATAATGGAGGTGGTAGTTTGCTAATAAAGCTGTACGGATACCCGAATACAAAAAATTGGCTGGCTGCACACAAATCTCGGTGCCTCATTTTTCTACCGGTCCGGAGAGCCAACTCAATGCCCTTTCGGCATCTATTTGAGAACAAGTTGCCTTACAGCCCATTCTCTTGCTGCGCATTACCATGCCACGTTCCTGATTTCAGATGTTGCATCTTGAAGTTTCTTCTTAAATGTCTTAAAACTAGTAGGGCTCATCTTGTTCCAATGAAATGACGTGCTTCGATTCGTTAGATCTGATCTGAGAGGTGACCGGGAAGTAGGATCCTTTGACGGAGTGTCTTCATACTCTGCAATTGAAAAAAAGGGAAAAAGAAAAGCAAAGAGAAATGCTGACATGAGTGTAACATAAACTGACTTTCTCTAGCCAGAGAAATTCGGTTGTAGAGCTGCAGGTTAGACCATAAAATATCAGAAGCAAGAATTATGGAACCTACCTTTTTTTTCAATTTTAAACCAGAAATAGAAAATCAAAATAGAGAAACATCATCACATTGATGTTAGTTGGAAATATAATGTCTTCAAAGAAAAATTCTAAATAAAACACGAACAGTTCCAATCCATGTTTCCACTAAGTTTTTCTGTTTCTTGTGATTCTGAAGATAAAATAGTTTGACTATCATTCTTGAAGCACATTCTTTTAAAAAATAAAGAATCATTTCAGAAGCAATTGTGTCAAATGCTTTTAACAACATATTTGCTGCTCAATGACGTAAACATGCTCCTCTCCAAGATTTAAAAGGGAGAACTTCCTCCCGTACACAATCTTCGTGGAGATCTTAGGTTAATCTCAGGATGCTAAGACGGGCTCAGAGTTCCAGTACAACATAATAGAGCAAACCGCCATTCCCACTTTTTCCATTTTTTTTTTAAAATTACCAAAACGCACTTTCTCCACTAGCATATAGATCATTATTGCATTATAACCCTATCTTTCATGCAATGAAATAGATGGAAAGGAAAAATCACCTGAAGACATGGGGAACTGATATTGCCTTTTTAAGAATTTGGAGGCCTCTCTATCTTTCTTGTGGCATAAAATCCGCACCAAAGTGTGAGCATTATTTAAGCGCACATGATTGTGATCATGTGAATCTAAGCCTGATGATATTTGTTCACTTGCAGCCATCAGCATTTGGATAATACTTTCAGTCTACAGAAACAGAGGTCGTGTCATGCTGCCAGTTTCAGCCTTTCAAGTTCAACAGAGGGTATACAATTCTCATTACAAGAGACCAAACCTGAAAAGAATACATGTTCAGTATCTGCTCAGCAAATTTTGCTTCCTGCTCCACTAGTGATCGAGGAAGGCCTCCTCCATCAGCTACAAAAAATTCCTAGGACGTTTAGCAGCAAAGCTCCATTAGCAACCAATATATGGTTATGTGTTGTGACAAAAAGTAATGAGTATGTAGCGTAAACCATCCCCAGGTACCTACAGACCCAAGCTATCTCCATAAGTTAGGGATGTACATCAAGTGGTATTTGTTTATGAGCTCATGTTTATGCACGCAAGCATGAGTGACATAAACAAGTGCAACTTCCAGAGTTTTGGAAATTCTTCTCTTAGGTCATTGAGTTTGAAAGAAATTTGATATTAAAGTTAGTGGCAACACATTTGACCATTTCTTTCTGAACAAGTTTACCTAAGCATCTAAGAATTAAGAGTGATTTTGTCTCAATGCTAGTTGGAGATACACAGAAAGACAGAGACAGAGCACCATACCTTTAGTGTGGCAAGGTCATCCTCCATCAGTAAAATATCTGAATCACAAAATGCACGAGAAGGCCCTCCATCAAGCAGCACCCATACAAAGCCTTCCTAAACCACATATGATGCAAGATTAAAACCAACACAAGAAACGGGCCACAGAAGACTAGGTTCTAATCATGAGACATACCAGTGATGCCCGAAAGATGCTTAAAACCACGACATCTCGAAGAGAATCATCAATTAAACCACATAGATGACCAAGGACCTACAAAAATGCCTCTAAGGTGAAGAGAATCCACTTGACAATATTTGATGAAACCATAACCACAAACTTAGAGAGAGAGAGAGAGAGAGAGAGAGAGAGAGATTAATATCTTACAGTATCAATATGTGTGAGAACACCATCCAAACGAGCACCTTCAACATTACCACAGTATAAACCGAAAAGGAATGCATGCCTGAGATCCAAGAACACGACTCTTGCACCTAGAAATTGAATTTTAACAAACATGATTGAGCATAATTGTCTTCTATCATCATGCACATCCACACACTTA